GGGGGGGGGTCGGATGATAGCGAGAACATGGGATTCGATTCACAAACATTGTCGGGTAGCGCTGACATATATATTGGAAACGGAAGCATTTGTTCTATCCTGATCGTAAGTGATTTTACAGTGATGAAGAGGGCGAGGCATCTTAAAAGCTTTAGATACCAGTGTTGGATATTGATTTCTACAAAAAAGTATGCTCCTGTCTTTTTGTTTCTTTATGTTCCACATAATGGAAGTTGTTAATACGTTTTAAAAAATATGTTAGCCATTTACAATTTACACGTATTGTGTTTAATACGCATTCTCATAGAAGATAATATTTTGAAGTCTCTCACATTTGCACTGATTTGTGTTAATAAATGTTTTACATTTTTATAGGCATCGTTTTTAATTCCCGCTACATTTCTTACTCACAGACCTTTTAGTTTGTCAGACTCAGGAAAAGGATGGTCGTCAGTCATGACCAAACAGCTGGTTTTGTTTTCCAAGATTTAAGTACTATTTCTATTCCACGTCACTTCGCACATAAGGATACACAGCTTTGAACTTAACCGCCTGGTCTTCCCTGCTCACGCTACGAACCACGGAGAACAAATGTGTTCCTACATTGTAAATCTCACTCATGAGATGTTTCAACAGTCTTGAATATAGTTCGTAAATATTACTTCTATAAATGAACGGGAGAGGAAATACTCCTTATATGTCGGGCGTCTTTCCGTTCTTTCTATCGGCGCCTGGAGCGAATGCACTGTCCAACACGAATTGCCATTATTATCTCCAGGTATAGCAACCTACTGTAATTACTTCCACCAGTCTCGCCAGTCCAAACCATGGCTCCGAAGTAGCTCGAAAGTCCCAGTATGAAGGCGGACATAAAACGTACCTAGTATATTTCGCCCAGCGTAGCTCGTGAGCCCTTCAGTGCTTGCGCCGAGTTAAAGGTAATGCGTTCATGTTGCTCTACATGGCGCTAACAGCAGTGATCCTTAGGTCCTGTGTGCTGTACGCAACAGGTATTGGATATTCACTAGTGGCGAAAGGAATTAGATGAAGGGTTCGTGTTCAGTAGTAATGTTAACTTGATGTACTGGGAATACATACCATGCTACTACATGACGGAAAGCAACAGGGATTCGAATCCATAACCTTGGTGTAATGCGTAATTGGAAGAAGGGGCCCAAGCTCCTGCACTACCACCTTTTTTACATTTTGAACGACTCCTGGATATAATCGATAGCAATTACCATTAGGTAACCACATATTAATAAGTATATAATAGTTTTAATGCAATAGCAATTTTGTACGATAAAATTTGTTTATTCTTGTTCTACGTCTAGTTTCATTTACGTCCGTCTGAGCGGGAGAGATGGCTCAGGGCATCAACTGATGTCATTGCAGTCCCTCTGACTGGGAGGTCCTAGGTTCGAGTGACGCAGGTTTTTCGACACTAGCTCGAATTTAGTTACTGTCTGGAGGAGAATTCTAGCTGGCGGCTGGTCTGTAGCGGTAGTTTTCCTTGGTTCCTCCGATCAACACTAGGCAAATGCCGGAGCAGTACCCTACCAAACGGGGCTCGGATCGCGCGCGATCTTTCCTACCTCTTCCTTGCCCTATCCTCACCCCTTAGGCACACGCCCTAACATGCACTACACTTCTAGCCATGGCGGGAGACCGGTCGGCAGATTAGAGCTTGTCCCTGCTGGGGCGGTGCTTCGGGGTGAGAGATACATGGTTAAGGGAAATCCCATACATCCTATACGTCACACAACTTCCCATACATTTGCAGACATGATGTCAAATGAAACATAATGATTTGTATTCCTTCCTTCTATTTGATTCGCAATGTATTAATTACTATTTGAAATACAATATTTTAATTCGTGTGCAATTAATCATCTTGTCAAAATTTTAGATCGATTCACCTGGTGAAGAAATTTGGTTGAAACGTGCTTTTTAAAACGATATGTAAATCCTGGTACGACATCCTGGCGGATTTTAACTCGTAACCCACAGTTGCGGTCTGTAGAACTTGTTGGCTATTAAATTGACTTAATATTACAATTTTGCAGACATTTACATACAATAATAAGGACAACGAGCAACACGATATGTCATTGATTTACTTTTTAATGTTTATCTGCTCTCTTTCGAATAAGTCTGTTCTCAATTTTTCAAAAATAAATTACAATTACGCTTACAATTGAATCAGACGTGATTGAATTCTGTAATGTCTAAAATACGATGCATTATTTTTAAACATGAGGGAAGGTAAACTAATCCCACAAATTTGCAAAGACATAAATTTACTATTCAGACATATTTGATTGTAAAACGTGATCAGAAAGTGACTTGTGTCGGCGTCTTATGTACTCGCGTATTAAAATTAACGTGTCTCTTGCGCTCTCGCAGGCGAGAGCTGTATTACGTGAACGTTTCGTAGGTCTGTCAGAATTCATTGTATCGATAAAGTACTAATTATAAAAAAAACATGAATTTTCAAAGGTGAAAACTAATCGGGCACATTTCTCGTAAATTATGATCGGAGAAGAACCTATTGTAACCATATTGTTGTCATGTATATACTCGTCAGCGATTGGTGCACCATCTATAGGATGGCCAGTGTACTTCAGGAGTGACCTTCCCGTACTTACTAAAATGATTTTGTCGATTTCATAAATGGGAGGGGTAGGGCATACATTTGAAGAAAGTGAAGTTAAATGAAACAACTAAAGCAAAATACCAAATACTGAAAATATTTGCTTTAAAGTGTTTTTTCAGGTTCATTATTATCGTTTTTATTGTGTCTTTTCATCCCGTGGTTTATTCAGTTTATTATTCTGTTGTTTTTGACGGTCCTCTGGTCAATTTTACCCCGTTTTCTTCGTAGGTTTCTCAAATAAATGTGCGCAATTAGTCATTCTAAATTACTTTCATTTTTGTGATTTATTCTGCAATATTTATTTAATGCAGGGTTTCTTAATTTCTTCTAATGGGTATCTTTCGGTAA